AAAAAAAGATTAAATCTGTTACGGTGCTGTTGATGTACCCATGCAGCCAGGCAGGACGGCAGCGGCCCCTCAAAAGCAAAATAGTTTAAAAAAGGAAACCCAACGGGCTGCATGAGTGTGCGTGTATATATGAGCACATTACGCGTGTGTCCCGTGGGGTGGGGCGAGGGCGAACAATAGTGCATGAGCACACACACAAAGAGAGAAACAAAGAGAAGGACGAGCTGCGCACAGCCCTCTCTCTCTCTCCGTGCCTCTCACGCGGCCACCATCGCAGCAGCCGCCGCACACGCAAGAAGAAGCGCAATGGGGGAGGTGCAGTGCGAGGCTGCGGTGCCGCTGTCACTGTCGCCGGGCGCCGCCTTCGTTGTTTTGGTGGCAGTGGCTGGCGGTGTCATGGATTCTCTCTCAGCCGCTGCAGTCTCTGTGCCGTCCGATGCGCTTTGTGCATCTTCAGCCGCGTCATTCCCGGGTGACTCCCCAGTGGAGGGTTTGGCGTCGTGAGGAGTCAATGCATTACTTTGGGTGGCGGGCTCTGCGGGTGGTTTCTCCACATCATCTTCCAGTGGAGCAGCGGCACCACCCGGCAAGGTAGACGATTGTAACGGAGGCTGCACATGACCGCCAGGTGGTGAGGCCTTCGTGGGGCTGGAAATGGTGTCTCCTTCTTGCTCTGACGAGCCGCCGTTTTTCCCCACCTCAGTTTGCAATTCCGGTGAAGTTTGCGGTGGCGCTTGTGGATCTTGGGATGACGTTGGGAGTGGCACCTGCGGCGCTTTTCCCGCAGTGCCCTGCCCTCCCGCAGTGTTTTGCCCTCCTGCCGTTCCTGGCAAATTGCCCTGATGTTCAGTTGCGCCCTTCGAAGTATGTTCCGAGCCCGTGCCCTCTGGGACAGGAGTTGGCGCAGACCCTCTCTGCGCGTCCAAAGGCTGCATCACTGTATTTCCTGGTTCGGCGGGGGCGCCGGCGAGGCATTCCACGGTGCAGCACACCAACAGCAGCAAAAACACCGCCAGTGATAGAAACGGCATGCTACGGCGTGGCTGGCGCATCGCCTGAAGAAACTGCCCGTGTTGCTTCCGTTTGAGCATCAGCAGCGGCATTAGTGGTGGCAGTAGTAGCAGTAGTAGTGGTGGCGCAGACCTTTTCCCTCAGAAGCAAAAAAAAAAAAGCAGAAGACTTACAACAAACATAAAACAACAAAACCACTCAAACTCTTCCAACTTTGTGCGCACGGCACGGGACACGTGCTGCCCGCCTTTGCCAGCCCGCTCAGCGACCGGCACGTTTGTGTCGCACTGCCGCAGCACTGCCAGTGCTGCCATCAGACACCCCCCCCCCACCTCGTGTAACATTAGTTTTGTGACTCCTCGGCGGCGTGAGATTCTTCCTCGCGTCTCTCAGACATGTTTTCCTTCGTGGTGGTTAACTTGAGCTGAACTGCAGCACAATACTCAACCAGCAGTCAAAAGGGAGAATGAAATTATTTAAAAAAAACGGACAGAGACACGACTCCACGCAGCCGCAACGAAACAAAAGAGAGAGAGGGCCACCCACACACGGCACGCGGCGCACACCTCACACACAAACACGCACAGGCACCCCCAATCCCGCACACAACGCAAGCGTGATGCATCACGGCACCCTCCCACACAAACAACGAGGGCAAATTAGATATCCCTAGGCAAACCGTGCAAACTGCACGGCACACACACAAGAACTGCGACGAGGTGTCTCTCTTCTTCTCGTATTGCACCCGCCACTCAGATCCCCCACAGCTCTGTGTGTGCGTGGTCACACGCAAACATCACCCACTCACAGTGAAATTGACTGCCTCGTCGCGGTGGCATTTTGTGTCGCAATTCGCTGAGGTGCAAAGAGGCAGAACACCCGCCGCCTCTTCGTTCATCCGCGATAAGAAGGAGAATTGACGCCACCGCATTCTCCCCCGCGACGCAAATATACGCTGCGCCCAGCACGTGGCGCGGTGCACGTGAATTCCGCGAGGGCACTGTTTGCCACACGACTGGGCCGCACGGGGCACAGCCTGCGAAGGCGGCCTGCAGACGTCTCCGCCTACTTCAGTCGTCGTGGCGGTGGAACCCGCAGCTTCTCAGCGCGTTGTTGCAGTTGACGGTGCTGCTCCTCAAGACAACACCCCCACACGGCACTGCCAGCACCGGCTACGAAATGGGCATCGACTTGCACTGCAGCATATCGAGTCGTTGTGTTTGTGTCTACATGCAGCTGGTATGCAACAAAAAAAAAGGGAGGGGGAAAAAAGATGTGAGCGCAGCCAAACGGACGGCAACCCTGCAGGGCAGTAGGGAGGAAGAAAAGACTAACGAAACTCGTGAGGGCGCCGCCGTCCAAGCAGCGGCACGCCACAAAAAAAAAA